CTCCAGACCTGATTGAAGACTGCAACTCTCAGGTCTGGAAGACTTCATGGATGGAGCCCAGGAGCGTATAAAAGGAGCTGCGTGCCCAGCATGAGGGAACACCTCTGGGACAGAGAAGAGCGTGGCTTAGAAGAGCTTAGGAGAGCTGCTCAGAAGGGCGAAGCAGTAGCCCAGACATGCCCCTGAAGACTTCTATCAGCAGAGAACAGCAGACGGCTCCAGCAGCTCGGCTCTTGGTGTGCAGCATGGCGTGTGGCGTCCAGACCCTGGGAGCTGCGTGAGGCAGCTCGGGTCTGCAACCTCTGGCGTGCGGCCAGAGACACAGTGCACAGGCCGGTGCATGGAGTAGGACCTTTGGAGCACTTGGGCAGCTCAGGTCCTCAACCTCTGGAATGAGGCTGGGAGCTCGGTGCAGGAGGTACTGCACGGAGGGTCCAGGAGTGGACCGAGCCTAGTGCTGCATGAGGCAGCGCAGGCCTCCAACCCATAGCAAAAGGTTGAGTCCAGACAGCCAGATGGTGATCGGGCTACTGAGCCAGCCAACAGGGCCGAGCCAGAGGCCCCAGAAGCCCTGCATAGAGGAGCCCTGTTCCAGGGCACAGCGACCCACCCCGCCTCCCGAAGCCCACTGCAGGCGAGAGAGCAGCCTGGCACAGAGGATGAGGGCCACTCTCCAGGCCTGGGAGCCGAGAGTTGCAGGGAAAGGAGGATTCCCACAGGGGAGGGGAGTCCCCCCTGGTTAGTTAAGGGCTCCTGAAAGGGGAGGTCCCACAGAGAGGGCCCCCCTGAAGTTACCAGCTTCTTTGTAGGGCTTGGGAAAAGCCCAAGGGCATTGGGGTTTCCCCTCAGGATTGAGTTTATCTTTGGGGTTTATCTGTTTCAGATCAGATACTTACCTGTGACTTACCTATATTTGGACCACTGGTATAAGGTTTTATGTCATTTACCCAGAGGGTATATTTATGTTATTTGTTTAGATATCCTCTCTCTATCTTTCTATCTCTGTCTCTCTGTCTCTGTCTCTCTTTCTTTCTGTCTGTCTGTCTCTCTGTCTGTGTCTCTGTCTGTCTGTCACATATGTTTATATCCATGTTTCTTTTCCTTGTGAAAAGTTAATGTGAATAAATCAGTATATAGTTCAGCCCCTGACTGTCCTGGCCTGGTTCTATAGGGGCAGAGGGAAACTGAGCGGTCTGCAGTTCCCACCCCACAGCACACCTGCCAGCTAACAATCCCCTTCAATTGGAGAAGGGGATCATATTCCCAAGTTACCTGTGCTACACTTACATCTTTTTGTTCCACAAGAGACTGTGTTTGCTGGGAGCTACAGGACAGACCCACAGTGGGTTCAATCTAAAATTGTAAGTGCCACAGGACCCATATCATATATAGTCCAGACTGATGATGGACAGGTTTGGAGACGTCATGTGGACCAACTGCATGGGTGTTCTCCTACTGATAACCCTACAGCTGAGCAATCTCCAAGCACCAATCCACCACCGACAGACATGGAGTCATTGGGGAAGTGCCTACCTGTTCCCACCCATGCAAACCCTTTGCCATCGCTGTCAGAAGGAAGCGTCACTGTTGAGTCTCCAGATAGGCTGACAGGCCGTCATCCGCTGAACCCCTTACTGAGTCCGGTTCTGTGGGAAGACCGCAGCGGAAGCGGGGTCCTCCCAAATGGTTGTCTGACTATTCTGTCTAGGAGGAAGGGGTGTTGTGTCTTACTGTGTTTTCCTTTCACTGTCCCTTGAAGGCCAAATCCTCCTGTTCAGCACTGCAGGGTTCAGTTGCTGGTGGCAGTTTTGCAGCTCTGGGGACTCCGTGTTCTCTGCCACGAGGAGCCAGGGGCATCCGTGGTTCCTCTCCCTGCACAGGACTGGATGGAGTCAGGTCAGAGGCAGAGCAGGTTTAAGCTCTGCATACATATACTGAGGGCAACGGTTAAGATCCACCGTGGATACAATTCCGGAGAGTTATAATAATAAATGACTGTTAGTTCAACACAGCAGTGTCCAGAGTTTTGTTGCTGAACTCACAATTTATCAAAAGGAAAGCCAAATAGAAATAGAAGGAGCCGCATCCCACACCTGGAGCCAGGGATGGAGGGGAACAAGGCTGGGTCAAGAGATTTGCTTTTCTGTTGCCTTTTCTGCACAGAGGCTCAGCGCCCGGAGAAGAGGGCACCCGGCACCGCACCAGGGACCAGCTCACGCTGCCCAAGGCCGACCTGCAAGTGCTGCAGCCATGGCCGTCCCTGCCCGCAGGGAGCGCGCAGCACCCGCCCCGCATGCTGCCCCTGCACTGGGCCAGACCGCTGCAGCCAGCACCACTCGCATGCGCCCACGTCTCCCCCTGCCTCGTGCGCGTTTGGGCCAAATCCTGGGGCCGACCGCACTCCCGACACAAAGGCATGTCAGCCCTGGCTGGCCAGCGCCTTTCACTCCTGCAGAGCCTGGAAAAATTCATGCTCCCATGACAGCTGTTCCCAGATGGCAGGACATGCAACCGTGAGTTTGAAATGCAGCAGAACAGATCGCGATGAAATCTCAGGGGAAAAGCCTTTCTTAATATCAGAGCAGCAGGGTAACGGGACCAGCTGCTCCAGGGAGCTACAGACCCTGCGTCCCTGGAGGTTTGCAAACAGAGGCTGGACGGGGTCTGTGTGCGGCGGGTTAGGAAGAGTGTCCAGCTGCCTCCATGCAGGGGCCTGGATTTGATGCTTGAGGTCTCTCCAACCCGGTAATGTCACAGTGTGGTGGATAACAGTGCCACCTGCCGAGTCCTGCTGCAACATGCAGGAGAGCCCAGGACTTTTTTGTGATCCTTTTTCTTGAGCCAGATGGTAGTTGGCTGGGACAGGAAGCAAGCTCTTGGGCACAAAGACCTCCGCTCTTAGCCTGAGAACCCAGCTAACCCAGTGCAGTTGTTGCAGGCAAAGTCAACAGACTCCAGGGTTGTCTGGACAGGAAAGTCCCAGCCAAGGGCAGGGCGGTGGTTCTCCTGCTCCATCCTGCACTGGAGACTGCCCAGGTCCGGGCCCCGCACTGCCAGGAGGATGTGGACAGATTGGGAAGAGCCCAGTGCAGAGCAACCAAAATGATCATGGCCTGGGAGGCAAGATTCATAGATTCATAGATTCATAGATGTTAGGGTCGGAAGGGCCCTCAATAGATCATCGAGTCTGACCCCCTGCATAGGCAGGAAAGAGGG